GCCCAGGCAGAATGGATTTGTTATTTTTTATCTTTGATGTCTCTTCACCAAAAGCGAGAGACAGGACTTGGCTGTACGGTCAGCAGGGGCACCATCTCAAGGAAATAATTTACTTAATCAACATGTAACCTGGGGAACCACTCTACAAATAAATTGGGCTGCATCCAGAGATCTGGAGTATTTTGCTCCCTTATGATACTCCCCTTCACTCCTACCAGTGTGTGCTTGTAGTTCATGGCATTGTGCCAACGCCTGGCAGGCCGAGGGAGACAGCACTTCCCTTGGACTTTCCTACCCTCTTTCTCAGAAAATTTGGGGCAACTTTTGTCTCTTCCCCAGTAGCCTGGTGATGGGGCCTGACCTCTCTATGTTCCCAGCACCTGACACACAACAGGTGCCCAGAAGCTGGCCACCAAATGCACAACTGAAAGAAAGGCTAAGCTGCAACCCTGATTAGTTGTGGATATCCAAGGCCTCAGAAAACAATTTAGCTCCAGCCTCAATCCTCCCCATTACTGCCCATCTGGTCCCATCTGTGAGATTACATATCCACCAGTCTCCTTTAAAAGGCTCACTTTTTTTTTTCCTTAAGTACATTTATTTTCAGACTGCCCTCCATCCCCTAAGAGAAAACCAGCTTCAGCATTATGTGCAGACGGTAGGCGTAAAAAAGTCAACAGTTTCAAAATTCAGAAAGCCCTCTTTGGCAACAAGAACTCCATTATGGAAGCACCTGCCTTGAACAACCTGACACCTCTTCCAAGAACTGCTTTATAATCTGCAGTCCAGAGGCTCTTAGTACCTGAGAAAACACGGCACTCATCAGGGGGGGATTTGGACTTGATGTTAGAAATAGCCAAGTGGAAAATGGGACTGCTATCCCACATCCTAAAGGGTCATGGCATTTGTCCTGAAAATGAGTCTATGAAAAAAGTTTTCCTTGTATCCAAAAGCAAACGATAAACAATCTATAAAGAGAAAAAAACCAAAAAAAACAAATAATTTCCTCAGAGACACTCTGACTACCCGAAGTAAAGTAACCCCCGTGCACTCTCAATGCATTTCTTAAAAATTCTAGGAATATGTGGGAATGTGTTAAGTGCCTCCAATTTTTTCCAAGAGCTACAGCAGGTATCTAGTGCCAGGAGTTTCTGTAGTATTTTGCAGATGAGGAAACTGAAGCACAAGGTAGGAAGTGGAAAGCTGGGATTTGAACCCAGCCTGCCTGTCTCCAGAGTCTGACAACCAATGCACCCTCCCCCTCTTCCAAGCCAAGCCTCTCAGGAACTACATGGGACACTTATCATTCTTTCACAAACATTTATTGGGCACCTACTATGTGTCAAGTACTGGGCTACACACTAGGGTCCCAGCGGGGTAGACTACCACAGTATTCCCACCTCATCCAGAACCTCAGCTCAATGAGGGTGGGAATAGGAGGTGGCAAACACCACAATATGTTATTAATTTGCTTCATGATGTTGGTAGTAGAATAATAAGGAAGGAAAAGATATCAGGAGTCAAGCAGTGAGGGCTGCAATTTTATATTTTTTAAATTGATTTGTTGGAGAGAGAGGAAGGAAGAGAGATGGAAACATCGATGTGACAGAGATACATGGATCAGCTGCCTCCCACATGCCCCCCACTGGGGATGCCTTGCCAGTGTGGCTTGGTGGATTGAGCATTGTTTCATGAACTGAGAAGTCCTGGTTCAATTTCTGGTGAAGGCACATGCCTGGGTTGTGGGCTGGATCCCCAGTGGAGGGGTGTGTGGGAGGCAGCCAATCAAGGTTTCTCTCTCTCCCATCGATGTTTCTGTCTCTCTCTCCCTTCCTCTCTCTCTAAAAATAATAAATAAATAAAAACGTGTGTGTGTGTGTGTATTTTTTATCCTCACCCAAGGACATTTTTGCATTTATCTTCAAATAGAGCAGGAGGGAGAGAGGGAGGAAGAGAGAGAGAGAAACATGGATGTGAGAGAGACACATCGAGTACTTGCCACCCACACAACCCCAACTGGGGCTGGGGACAAACTGCAACCGACGTATGTGCCCTTAGCAGGAACTGAACTCGGGTCTCTCTGGTCCGCGGACCAACGCTCTAACCGCTGAGCCAAACCGGCCAGGGCAATAAAAACATATTTAAATAAATAAATAAATAAATAAATAAATAAATAAATAAATAAATAAATAAATAAAGTCAGGAAGGCCTCTCTGACAAGATGGTATTTGAAAAGAGGTGAGGAAGAAAGCGGTGAGGACAGGGAGGTGACAGCCAACTATAACCAATGTCTCAGATGGAGAAATGAGACCCAGAGGCAGACATTTCCAGAGTTTGTCTTGCATGCTCTCTCCTGTCACTCAAGCTCCTTATACCCTACCATCTCCCAATAGTTTAGCCTGACTCCCTTGCTCCAACTGTGGTTCCATGGCACCTGCCAGGATCATTGCCATAGCTGAGCCAGGGCCCAAAGGAGTTGCCTTTAGGTGCACTCATCCCCATTTTGAAGGGTGATGGGGTGGAGAGGACCAGTCCCAATCACCATGTGTCTTGGCTTAGTAGAACTTCTGATTAAGGTTCCAGGGTCCAAGTGTCTGAAGCCTCTGAAACCGGAGGGGTTTCAGGCATACCTGGGTCAGTGGTGGGGGTACGGAGGGTGACCAGACCCAGGTGACCAGGTCTTTGTTCTCATAGGGTATTTGGAGGAGGGTAATCCATTCTCTTTAATCTGGAAAGGGAGTGACAGTGGGCTTTTAAGGTTGCAGGGCCATCCTCAAAACATACATGCTTAGGTTTTTGCTGCTTGTCCTGGAGACCCACCCAGATCCCTGCTTGCCATTCCTGTGTACCTTAGGGCTCCTATCACCTTTCTGAAAGCATACTACCTTAACCTGTTAACCATGCGGGACGTATAAATACGTCAAACGTTGCATACATTGAAAAGGGAATTCCCCAGTTATTCCCCGGTTAACAGGTTAACACCCACTTCTGTGCCCTGTCCAACCTGCCTGGACTATATAGCCTAGCCATCAGTGCTGCTGAGTCCCCCACCCCTATATACCTCATCATTACCCTCTCCCTATCTACTTCCTTCTACTCCCTCTTGTCCCTCCAGGGAGTCTCCCAGGTCAGCTGAGCCCCACCAAGTACAAGAGGAGGGAGGTGGTCTTCCCTCCTCCTGCCAGCCCCTTGGGCCTTCAGAGCAGAATGACCAGTGCACAAAGGGGACAAAGTAGCTGAGCAATCTCCCCTCCCCTGCAAACTGCAAAGCAGTCCTGGAGCAAGGACACTCTTAGGGTCTGTTGTTGTTGTTGTTGAGCCTGAGAGCCTCAGTCTCTTCATCTCCTCTTCTCTCCACTTTCCCCATCGCTCACTCTGCTCCAGCCACACTGGCCCCCTTGCTCTACCTCCAACATGCCAGGCCTGGTCCTGCCTCGGGTCCTTTGAACATGCTGGTCCCTCTGTCAGAACGCTCTTCCTCCAGATGCCTACCCATCCCCAACCTGTCCATTAACTCTTAATCATCCTTACTAATCAGTCCAACACCCACCTCCTCCAAGAAGCCTTTCCTGACCCCTCCCCAGGCTGAATCAGGTCACTCTTCTGACTCCCTACCTTCAGGCATCCTCTGTTTTACCAGGTGCTTATTACCTACCAGCTGGCCACTGTGCTAGCCTCTGAGGTGATGATTGCTATTATTCCCATTTTGCAGGAGGTGAAGTCACTGGCCTGAGGGCATTGAACTCAAACTGGCAGGACCTGGTCAGTGGCAACTACCAGACAGCCATGGCAGGAAAGGGGACAGCCTGCAGTGCCCGGATAAGAGAGAATCATGCCTCCCCACCCCCACATCTGCTTTCCTGTGGGTGTCTCAGGGGTAGTGGGAGATGGGAGGAGTGAATCCAGGCCTGTTCCCCCCACCAACTACAAACTACCATCATACCAGAAGCTCCTGTGCCAGTGTTCATTCCATGCCAGGCATTGGGCCAACCAAACACTTTGCACGCCTGACTCACTCAATCTGCAAATGGCCCATGGTCTTGTTCTCAGAACAAGAAATGGAGGCTCATGGGGCTGTGAACTCCCACTGGCACTGGAGTCCTCCCCATCCCCCCGGTCATGAGGCTGCCACTTGGATGATCAAGCCATTTCCTAGCCAAGTTTTCCTTTGACCCCAACAACACTTCCAGGGATAGGAACTGCTGACCCATTTTACAGATGGGCAAACTGAAACTCAGAAAACCTTCCCTGGAGCCAAAAGGCCAGTTCAATGAACAAGGCTCCCAGCTTATCTCCACTGCCTCTTCCCTCTCCCCTGGGAGGGCAGGCAAAGAAGGTCCTGATAGCCTCCTCCCTGCAGCCTGGCTAGGCCTGTGGGATCCAGGTGTGCAGAGTGAGGCTCCAGGCACTCACCGATTTATTCACAGCAGCTCCTCTTGGAAGAGGACTGAGTTGAGGCTAGGGATGCCAGGGGCTTTAAAGACAGCCCCATTCTCCAGAATTTCTAACTCAGGCAATCCCATGCAACAGATCCAGGCTGCCTCTGTGGGGCCAGCTGGGGCTCAGCTGCTGGGACCTTACCTGGGATCCCTCATCAGGTGGCATCTCACAGGTTTTGCAAGTCAGACTCAGTCACAACAGCTCCTCCCTCCCCAGACATGCTTTTCCCTCAGTTTCCCCATCCCAGCCATGAAAAGCCCCTCCACACTCCCAAATGCCCAGGCCAACAATTTCCTCTGGGCACTTTTCCTTCATGCCCCACTTCTGAACATGCAGGAGACACAGATGTTAACACTCAATTCACCTAGTTTCCACCACCCCTGCCAGTCTGGTCCAAAGCAGCAGCCTCCTCCCATCTGTTCTGCCCACAGCAGCCCCTGGATCTTCTTAAAACTACCTCGCACACTTTGTTCTTAGCCTCCGGTGGTCTCCACAGGCTTGGAATGGAAACCACACACCCTCACCATCCATCTTTGGGGCCCGGGCCAACCTTTACCCACCTCCAATCCTCGTGTTTCGGGCACACCAGCCTCTTTTCTGCTCTGCAAACACAGCAGACTGGGCCCTGCCTCAGAATCTTGCCTTTTTCTGGACGTAAAAAGTCTTCGCTGGCAAGCCACTCTGGACCGGATGATACCTTCTCCGAGAAGCCTTCCCTTTCCCCAAGGCCCTGATGTGGTCTTCCCCGCACTTAGCAGGGGCTAGAATGATGTTTCTGCTTACGCGGTTCCTAGCCATCTATGCGGCCCCGCTGAGACTCTGTGGCCCGGCCCCGGCTGCATCCCAACTCTGACACGTCGGCAGCACCCAGCCCAGTAGGCGCTCCGTATGGATTCTCTGGTGAGGGACCAACACTCCCGTCACGTTCCCCGGGTCCACACAGACGGATTGCCCCGCGTCACGGTGCCAGGCTCGCACCGGGTCCCTTCCGCCCGTTTCGCAGCCGCGTCACAGGGCGCTCGCTGCGCCTTGGCCCTCCAGGGAGCAGGGCTTTCTCAGGGAAGCCCCGATCTGCCATCCCGGGCCGGGCGATCCGGGCCCGAACAGCTGCGCCTGGGGGCCGGGCCGGGGCCGCCATGGCTGTGGAGGAGGGGCCGGAGCTGGCCGCAAGGGTGGCGTTTGGGGGAACGTTCTGGGCGCCGGATGCTTGCTTACCTGGGGGGACGGACGGCAGAGTGCACCGGGGGTCGAAGGACCGCACGCCAACAAAAGAAACACAACGCAGCGAGCCCTGAATAGCCGGACTTAACTCCCAGCACCGCTTCCTCTGGGGGCTGGGGGAAAAAGGCTGGGGCGTGGGGGTCGCGGGGCGGGGCTGGGGGCCGGGCCTGGAAGGGCGGGCCTGGGGGCGGGCTCCGGCGGGAGGCGGGGTCCCGCTGCACTCGGCTCCCTCCGGGCAATAGTCCGCTTCTATCCCCAGACACTGGGCCCCGCCCCAGATACACCCCGCCCCAGGCCCCTCCCCGAGGCTCTCTCCGCCGCGATCCAGCCGCGGATTTCTTGCCGGATCCTTATCACCGGTCTCTGAATGCAGCCTCCTGTACTTGCGCGCTCAGTCTGGCCCCCGCTTCTCCTGCTCACCACACGTACCCCGCGAACCCCTCCGGAGTCCCTTCTTCTGGCCCGGCTCTAACCCGTGCATCTGCCAACACTTTGGGGGCGCCCTGATCCACTGTAGCGCACCGCTGGGCGTAGTAGAGAAGGCCCAGACACCGCCTCAGGCCTCAGAGGGCGCCTCTAGTACCTCCAGTCTAGGGACCTGTACCAGCTCACAGGCCATGCCCGTCCAGTTCGTAGTGCGTGGGGCCGGGGCGCGTGCAGAGGCCAGCTGCAAAGTTGGAGGCCTTAAGGGTCATTCTGGAGGCCTGGCTGGCTGCCGGGCAAAATCTGCGGTTTGGAGTCATTGTAGGGGATTTTAACACCCCATTGACATCAATGAATAGATCTTTCAGAAAGTCAACAAACAGCAGCCTTAAATGACACACTAAATCAGATGGAATTAATTGATATCTACAGAGCATCCCACCCCAAAGCAGGAGAATATACATTCTTTTCAAGTATACATTGGAACATTTTTCTAGGATAGAACACATGTTAGGACACAAAAGAAGTCTCAATAAATTTAAGAAGACTGAAAGAAAAAAAAAGTCTGTGGTTTGGTGGGGTGCAGGAGTCAGGCAGCGTGGAAGGTGGTGGTGCAGCCCGGCTTGGGCTGCAGTGCCCTGTGTAGTGGAGGGCAACAGAGGAAGGTGCTGGGTTCCCTCTGGCGGCAGGAATCAAAGTGACCCTGGATCAGCAGCGTGCAGGGGCATGAAGCTTGCGTGAGCTGTGAATGGAGGACAATCCCAGATCAGGCAGATAACTGCACACCTGAGGCTCACTTGACACTCAGGGTCCAGCTGTCACCAGTTGAAGAGAAGGGGGTTCCAGAGCTGCTGGCCAAACCGTGTGGTCTAGGCTGGTAGCTTCACCTTTGGCCAATAAGCCTCTCCCTGAAGCGGGTGGGGGAAGTCCTGGTTTTCTGGGCTGACCGGCCCCTAGGTAAATTGCTTCATTCACATCACAGATACTTGATTTCCACACATAAGAAGTGCTGTTGTGTGTGTGTTGGGGAGAGTCTCGGTTGCAAGTGTGGATAACCTGCTCTCCAATCCAGCTTCCGGCCTTGCATTTGTTGCTCCCTGCCCCCACCTTCTCTCCCTCAGGCCTCAGTCCCCTCCAAAGATTCCCCCACCTCTACCTCTGCCCCTCTCTCCACATGCACTCATTCTCTTCCCCTCCTGCCAAGAGCTCCTTTGCACATCAGAAAAGGAAAACAAAATAATTTTCCTCATTTGTTGCCACTAGGAACTGCCTTGTATCACATGCCTTGCACCTGGGGCTGCTCAGTAACAGGGAGACTTCCGCTGGAATGGGGACACGTGGCAGATCCTTGTGGAAGTGCAGGGATCCACCTTCCAAAGAGGATGAGGTGAGCCAGGGCCAGGGAAAGATTTAAGGTGAGAGGTACTGCATGGGCAAAAGTAGGGAGGCTGGAGGAAGGGGTCAGTGTTGCCAGAAGAGATGCAGGCTAGATTTTCTACAGTTGGGTGGTTTCTTGATTTCTGCATGCTCTCCTTTTCCACTTCCCTACCTTAACACCCCTCCCCCCCATTACCATGCTTCCTGGAGGAGGAGGTGACTTTAGAGAAATGAGTGGGTAGGGATTAAGCTGAGTCAGGGTCTGGAAGTGAATGAGGAGAGGACAGTAGGAGGGGCCAGACACTAAAGCCCCTCCGATGCTCTCTCTGGAGAGGAACAATTAGATTTAAAATTAGACACAATCAACCTGGGCCTGCCAGGCTCAGTGGATTGAGCATAGTCCCATGGACTGGAGAGGTCCAGGTTCAATTTTTGGTCTGATCTCCAGTAGCAGGTGTGCAGGAGGCAGCCGATCGATGTTTCTGTCTCTCCTTTCCTTTTGTTGTAGACCAATGAGACAGACTCTGAACTGGGTTCAAATTAGGAGAGCTTTATTAGCCGCGCGGGGACTGTCCCATCCTATGCAGAGGAGAGGGCAGCCCCAGAGCTCAGGGGGAGGATTGCTTATATAGTTTTCTTAGCCCCTGTTAAGAAATTGGGCTAAGGGTCTGCGAGCAAGCAAGCATGTACAGAAGAGGATATCTGCAGTTAGCCATTATGTCTGAGGGGTAAGGAGTTCTATTTGCACAATATAGTGGTCAGCTCCTGATGCCTGTCTCCTTCCCTCCTACCTAGTTCCTGTGATCCTCTTAGGGTCCAGGGCAAGGTCTACCAAGTGGGAAATTTTTAACTACAAGTTTTCACAGTACTTTAGCTGTATGTTCTTTTGTTTTATTGCCCTATTGTCTGTCCTTCACATTTTCTCTAAAAAAAAATCAATAAAAAGTAAATAAATTATAAATAAATAAATAAAATGAGTGGGTGGGCAGGGGGAACAGCTGGGGCCTAATCTGGGGGTTGCAGACAGAAGTGAAAGGAGGGACTGAAAGTGTTCCGTGTCAGTGAGATAACCAGAGGCGCACAGCCGAATTGTAAAGGAGCACTTCACTATACCTGTGAGCTGGAGTGGGGGAAGTACAGCTTCCCCAGTGATTCTTCTACGTTATTCACTGGGCTCACAAGTCCCTGCAAATGCCTGCAAATACAGATACTCAATACTCAAATGCCTCCCAACATGTGGGGCAACTATAATCTTAGGCAAAATTCCTTTACTTCTAGGGGTAATTAATCTATTATTGGAAAAATATCGAGGAAGGTCCATTGATGATAAAAATGGAATCTAGTTGCCTTAGCCTCGGGGCCCAGGTCATTCCCCACTGGTTTTCCTGACAAATCAAATCATTGACTTGATTTAGTTTTTATGAGGCCATTTATTAGACATGGCCCAAAGGCTAGGAGTAAACGTAATATGGCAAGAGGGCTGGCAATGGCGAATAATAGAATTGTAAACCAATTTTCAGATTGTCATCTTTTTCTTTCTTGTTCCTTGATATTTTTTCTAACTAGTGATAAACTTTCTTAAATAATCCCTGAATTATTTGCATAAAAACAGCATTTTTCTCCAAGTGCAACACATAATCCTCCTTCCTTAAGAAATAAGAGGTCTAGCCCTTGGTCGGTTTGGCTCAGCGGTTAGAGCATCAGCCTGCGGTCCACAGAGACCCAGGTTCGGTTCCCGCTAAGGGCACGTACCTCGGTTGCAGTTTGTCCCCAGCCCTGGTTGGGTCATGTGGGTGGCAACCACTCGATATGTCCCTTTCACGTCGATGTTTCTCTCTCTCTCTCTCCCTCCCACTCTATCTGAACAAAAGATCAAAAAGTGTCCTTGGGTGAGGATAAAAAAAAAAAAAAAGAAAGAAAGAAATAAGAGGTCTAATCCTCACCTGTTCTGTAGGACCATTTCTAAGTTCCCAATTCCATTGGGGCCCAGGTCTCTAAGGATTCCCCTGCACAGTCATAACCAGAAAAATCAAAGTCCCAATAAATGCTGCCTGGGCTGGTACTGAAAAAACATGCCCCTTCAGTGGCCTGACCACCCTCCCCAGGGAACCCTGTGGCCTCCGGGTGAGTGCCTGTGCACCTGCCAGCTGCCCCATTTCCCAGGACGAGGGGCTCTCCACACCAGATGCCAGTCCTGAAGGCCATGCAGGATGCACAGGGCGGCCCAGTGACAGGGACGGCCCCTGAATCATTTATTACTCTGTTAACTGCCTGTAGCAACCGAGCTACAAAATCTTGATATGGCTCTTCAGGTCCTTGTCTGATGGATGTGAGATCTAGCAAAATTTCCTCTTTTGTTGGGAGCTCTTTCCAGGCCCTCAAAGCATGAATACTAATCACAACTGTAGCAGAAGATGGTGGAGAAGTCTTTAAGGACACATAGCCTTTCTCGGCTTTCCTTAAGTCTTTCACTACACCTTGCTTCCTCACCTTATTAGCCTTCTTGCACAGGATCAAGGCAATCTCTAATTAGGGCCCAAAGAGTAAATGTTTGTGCCAGAAACTTGTTCGGGCCTTTTGTTGTATCTGCCTTGCAGGCACCTCCCTACCTTTGCCCAGGTTTCTCTTGGGGCCTAGTTTTGGGCCACTACCAGTATTTATGCCCTAATCAGCACCTTCCTCAAATCATTCTCTAAGAATGGATTTTTGGTTTTTGGTTTTTTTTTTGGTGGTACCTGCCCCTACCGGGAACTGAACCAGGACTCTCTGGTCTGCAGGCCGATGCTCAACCGCTGAGCCAAACTGGCCAGAGCTCTAAGAATGTTCTAATATGCAATCCAGTGAGGTCTTCTGGGCACTAGGGCTGCTATCCATGATTAGACTA